GACTTCCTCAGAGGCAATGTCAACGCTGAAGATGCATGACTGATAACGCCTCAACTTAGGTCTCTCTTCCATTCTCATCTTTAGGCATGGCTCAAGCTCCACCTAGCCACACTTACAGCCTCTTGACTGAAGACAAATAGGGGGTGGCATATTCTCAAAACCCTCCCATATTAATTGCCAATTTTGTTGCTGTTGTTCATGGCAGCAGTGGGAATGAGGATGTTTATTTTTGCTTTCACTCATCAATTTACCTTATCCATCACTATAAAAGGTCTGCAGATCATAGTTATACATGCTGACAGAATTCACAAACGGTCAGTAGCAAGCCAGCGTTCAGTCGAGGCCCTCTGACTTCTATCCATACCATGAAGACATGAACTAGAAAGTCAAACTTGATTGAATTTTGGGAGACACTAGAGACAACTAAAACCTATTCCCAACTCTTTCTCCTTGTTTCTGATTCTTAACGTTTGGAAATATATATGTTGCTTTTCTCAAGGACACTGTGCAACAAGGAAAAGACACATACCGCATTTTGGTTCAGGATCTTTAAAAAAAAAAATCAGAAAATTCCTGGAAACTTTCCCCCTTGGTATAAAAGGACAAGGGCCAATGAGGCTCATGAAACATAACAGCCTAACTAGAGCAGAATTGGCCGCATCATGACCATGAAAGAGACATCAAAGAAGTGACAACAGAGGCAGACCTAACTTTGCTAAGCCAGGAAAACATACCTGCTACCTCCCACCTGGCACCATATGGCTGTTATACCAGAAAGCAGAAACCATTTCTGTTTAATCTGTTGGCCACACTGAACAACAGATTTGGGCTTCTTATATACGATACAGCGTATAAAGACTGTATATTTTATGGAAGCTAGTGTGGGCATTTTTCCTTTTAAACTGAAAATAAGTTATAAAGTATAAATTCCCCATAAACTTGGGAGAGTAGCTTGGAAAGGTAGCAACTAGGTTTTATTTCTCTTCATGTGTATTAACTGTGTGTTTTCATTCACCGAGTATTCCTCTGGGTTTTGAAAGTTCATAGACGACCCAGCCCTAAAGGAGTTTAGAATGTATTAACTGGCTCCTTTGCAAAATTGTCTAATTCCTGATACAGCACCACAGAGAAAACAAAGACTTATTAAACTATTAGTTGCTAAATTGAAAGATACGGGACCACTTCTACTGTAATTTGAAAACGGTCTCTAAGATCTACTGAGTGCTCACCACATTCTACGCACTATTTTAAGTACTTTATATAAAGCAAGTAGCTGAATCTTAGGATGGTTCTGTGAATAAACATGCTGCCACCCACATTCCATTCCCGGTGTGGTTGAGGTGCAGTGGAGTTACACGTGTTGACAGAATTCACAGATGGTCCGTGGCAGAGCCAGGATTCAATCCAGGCCCCCTGGCTTCTACCCACTGCTCTCCTGGGATCACCTCAGTGTCAGAAGCATGATTTCTGGCCCAGTTGTCTGTGACCTTGGGTGCACACACCTTCACACACCTGCTTCCCTAACTTTATCCTTAGGATAACAGTTGGCTAGTGTGCACAGTAGGACGCTGTTACAGTAACTGCACATGGTAGGGCAGCATAAATGCCCCCTACAGTAACTGCACATGGTGGGGCAGTGTAAATGGTCACTGCTTTTTCTCTAATGTTTCCCATGAAGTCTCAGCATCATTCTATGAAAACAAGGAAATGAAGTTGTCCCTTGAGAGTGGACTGTAGTTCTTGAAATGTAAGCTGGGCTTCACATTGACTTATATGTCTTCAGGAAAAAAAAAAAACATGTCTAGGCTTATATTTCAAACTGAGCAAATAAAAGTCATACCAACTTTCAATAGACCCTCTGAAGAGCTAATGATTAGCTTGGTAAAAGTGATTATTAGGAAATCTAAGAAGAATCTCAGTCATTGTGCTTATGGTAGAGAGGCCTGTATAGAACAGAAATCTTAAATTATATACTGGCAAATGAATCACTGCATTCTCCCTGAGGGACATACTGTCCTGGGTTTATCTTTCTCTCTCATGCCACACAACATAAGAAGCTATTAGCTTATCAAGACTATGAAAAGAAGGGACCTGACACTCAGAGGTGCTACATTGTTCTAAAGCAGAGAAGCTAAAAGGAAGCAGGAGGAGCAGATATGTTTCACTAATTCAGTTAAACTAGGCTGAAACATGACAGTGTGAAGGAATGTGAGTAGACACCTGAGAAGCTCCTCGAAAGTCACAATCCTTGTTGACTCAGAAGATGGAGGGGTAACATAAAGTCTTAAGAAATATAGGTTAATAGATAATCATCTATAATAGTCAAGCATATAATCATGTTATCTAGGATATATATGTATGTATATATGTACATTATGTATGTATATATATTACACATATATGTATATACATACGTATGTATATATATATATATATATTAGAGAGAGAGATTTTTCAGTTAGATAGGTACTATTCTTCAAATCTTTCAGAGACCTTCAGAATATGGCACTTAAAATGTTTAAGAACTTAGGCCTTTTCATGACAATGAGAGGAAATGGGCATTTGAAAACACTTCTCATGGATTTTACTAGCCATTTTGGCAAGAACCTGCTTTTTCCTGGACTGCTTGATGTTATGCTGTATGAACTGGACATGTAGGACCCAGAGAAAAATGACTGCTGAACTTGCCTAAAGGTGAGATGGTCCTTAAAGGTTTCTGCTTCATGAAAAAGTCTGCAAGACATTCTGCAGGACAGAGAAGAAAGTGACTGACATACTGCCAATATAGGCAGAACTGTTTTTGAAATGTCCTGCTTCATGAAAAAGTCTGCCAGATACTATGGGCCTATAGGCTAAAGATGGATGCCTCAATGATACAAAAGAACTTTGGGTGACTGTCCAGGCAGTGAGATGTCTCTGTCAATTCTGGAATTTTGGAAGTTGTTTACAATGCACTTCCTGTTACTTAGGTAATATTATATCCTTCTGGAGTCTTTAATGGAGTTTAAGAATAGTTATAATTATAGTTTTCATTAGCTATGATAAAAGATAAAGTAGATTTAAATATTGTAACTGCAATCTTGCTTAATATCTGTTTTGTCATATGCAATTTTACTATGTTAAAGTTAAAGCCTTCCTTTTTTATTTAAAAGAAAAGGGGAGGTGATGTGAGATTCCTCTCTGTATACTGTGAATACCATTGGTTAATAAAGAAACTGGCTTGGCCTGAAAGGGTAGAGTAGAGCTACACAGGGAAAACTAAAGTGAATTCTGGGAAAAAGGAGAGCAGAATCAGGAGAAGGAAGTCATTCAGCCCCGCCAGAGACAGACACCAGACAGAATTTTGCTGGTAAACCACAACCACATGGTGATACACAGATTAATAGAAATGGGTTAAATTAAGATGTAAGAGCTAGCCAATAATAAGCTAGAGCTAATAGGTCAAGCAGTGATTCTATAGTTTCTATGTGATTATTTTGGATCTGAGCAGCTGGGAACAAACAAGTGGTCTTCCTACCCTTTCTACTACATGCCTCCTGTCGCACTGCATTGTTTAAAGCTGGACATTGCTTGTGGAAAAGGTGGGAATAAAGTGGCTGGAGTCAGTGCAAGGGCTTGGTCCTCAGTTATTTATTGCAGAGGTTCATATTCAATTAGTTTTTGTTTCTACCTCTGCCTCTTGGTGGGGGAAGGAACATGGTAGATGCTTCCTTCCCTTAATCCTCCCTTGAAAGGACCTTCACATACTTACATGGTAATCAGCCCAATAGTGAAGAACTGTATTTAATAAATGGACCATGGCAAAAATGGGCTTTATGGCAACAAGTCACAGCATCAACTTAATAGAGGCTAAAACTTTTGGCTTTCCTCCTTCTCCAGAGAGAGAAGAAAAGGCTGCACACTTAGTTGGGACATCTTTTCTCTAAAGGCTTCTCACTTTTCTGCATTTGCCTATACCCATGTCTTGGTTTGATGCTCAACTAAAGGGTGTGTTTCAGAGACTGCTCCTTTCACCCTCATCGTGTACTCTCAGCCCTCTTTCGGATTTCAGCTCAGGGACACTACTAGGACCAGGTTATTCACATGGCTACTTTTGAGGGATGGAGGTGGTCATTGCTACATTTGTTTACATTCTATTTTCCATCCAGACTTGGTGAACTGCTATTGACCCAAACTTCACCAAATATGAAAATTTGATGCTCGTTTTATTTTATTTTTTTTCCCAAGCCAAACTGTATCCAGCTTTATTAAAGACACTTTCCATAAACAATCATGGTTTTCCAGGCAGAACATGGGCAGACAATCAGTAACAGTATACAAGAACTTCCAAACTCCCTTCTTGTATCGACGACCAAAATCAGAAAGCCACTATAAAACCTGGTGAGTCTTCATTGGATGCTCTGCAAAGGGGGAGGAGTTTAGAGTGAGGGCTGACATTTCACATCAAGGATGTTGTTTCACAACTCTTCACAAGCCGACCCTGACTTTCAGGAAATGAAATGAAAATGACAGAATTATCAATCTTCTATAAAAGGAACCGCTGTGCTTTTGAGGATACTCAATGATATCACTGCACAGTCCGGATTGCCCAACAGACTGGCAAAACCAATTTTGGGGATCAGGTTCCAACAGGTCTCTGGTCTTAAGGGAGTTAAGTCTATGTTGATGGTACAGGGGGAGGAGGATATAAAAATGAACTGAGTTTTCCCACACATGTCAACATGTCCCCAGGACGCCTCTCCTGGGAGCCAAGAGGAGTCTTTCAAAATTATCAGGGAAAGATGTTTTCCATCATGAACCATCATTCATCCAGCTTGGGAGACACTGCTAGTGACACATGTTCCTCCCCACCCAAAACAATGAAGTGTTCTGTGTGCTAACAACATAGCTTTAAAAAAAAAAGTAAAACAAAATCCTGCATTTTTATAAAACTTGATAAAAAATAGTATTTCAAACTGTACAGTCACCAGAAGTACACAGTTATCAAAAACGCACACATTTCACTTGGCGTCTCCAGCACCTTCAGCTTTTTGTGCCTGGTCTGATTTGGCGTCTCCATTCTCTGCAGGATTATTGGCATCCTTACCAGCATCGGCTTTCCCCTTCTTCCCCTTGGGTACCTTTTCTCCCTTCTTTGCGGGGGCCTTTTTAGGCTTGGGCTCTGGCTTTGGAGGAGCAGGTTTAGCAGACAACCTTGCCGATCTTCTCTTTGGCTCGTCCTTCACCTTGGCTTTATCTCCTTTAGTATCCCCTTCAGCCTTTCTTTTGGGCATGGTGGGGCCGGGGGGACATCGGCACTGAACGCGGGGCTGCAGCGGTGAGCGGCTCGGGTCCGACCGGGGGTTGTTCTCGCTGCTTCTTCACACTGCTCCTCATTTTATTTTTTGTAAAGGAATACAGGAATCTTTAATGAAAATGCTGGTTGGGCAAGGCTATGTAATTTGTATCTTGGTATTAAGGATGTTATTGATTCCTTTCCTATATTCTTAAACTATCTCCGTTTTCCATTAAGAAAAATGTAAAAAATAGTGAGAGTTCCTGATCATTTTGAACATTTTCTTCTGTGTTGTCAGAGTTGAGACCTTTGACACACTGGCGTGTGCTGTCAAAAAAAATACTACAGACCTGGTCCGTTCACATACCATTCCTTGCTCCTGTTCTGTGCATTGCGTATGATACATGCTGTCAGTTCTGACAAGCTTAAATCCCATCTGCTTTAGATGATATTCCAGAAATGGTCTTTACTTTACCTTTCCAGATTATCCTATTATTTGTCCTACTCTGCCTTTTTCTTACAATTGAGCTTGATTTCACTGTTCATTTTCTGTTCCCAGGTCTCTTCCAATGCTATTTTCTCACACAGAAATATATCCAACCGCCATTTTCTATTTATATATATTTTAAGAATTTACTATGCTCACTGGGTATATGCGTTGTGGGATATTTTCCTCCTTTGTCTTTTTGAGGGACCCAGCTCTCAAATAAATATCACACACACAGAGAGAGGTGGGGGGAGAGGGAGAGGGAGGGAGAGAGAGAGAGAGAGAGAGAGAGAGAGAGAGAGAAAGAGAGAGGCTTATTCTTAGTTATGAATGCCTGGCCTTAGGTTGGTTTGTTTCTTGCCAGCTTTTCTTAACTTAAATTAGCCTGACTAGCTTTACCTCTGGACTTTTATGTTTCTCTATTTCTATATATCTTACTTTCCTTCTTATTCCATGGCTGGCTGGGTGGCTGGCCTCTGGTGTTCTCCTCCCCCTGTTCTCTTGTTGCTCTTTTTCTCTTCTCCCAGATTTCTCCTTCTATTTATACTCACTGCCTGTCAACCCCACCAATCCTTGCTCCTGCCTCACTATTGGCCATTCATCTCTTTATTAGAACCATTAGGTGTTTAGGCAGGCACCATAACACAGCTTCACAGAGTTACACAAAAGAAGTGTAAGTAAAAGTTACACACCTGAAAATAATATTTCCCAACATGACTGAGCTCATACACATGGGTACACATATGTGTATCAGTCAGAGGACAATGTACAGGAGTCAGTTATCATCTTCTCCTTGTAGTTCTTAGAGCTGGAATACAGATTATCAGGAGTGTTGATAAACACATTTATCCACTGAGCCATCTTGCCAACTCCCTCGCTATTTCAGCATCAGCATTTTACTCTATAAAATCTTCGCCTCCTATTAGCGTCTCATTTTGATCTGTGCTTTCCAATACCAATTAGACAGTGACTATGTGGTTCAACAATTTTCTAATTGTTTCCTCTTTGGTAAGCCTACATTCTGAGTTAAATGACAAATACCTCAAAATGTCATTGTTCTGTTCCCAGTGACTCTTAGGGATTGAGCGCATACTTTTTTGGGTACAATTTCTTAATTGATAAACAATCAAGTACCAAATAAAACAAAACATGAAAATACATCTTGTGTTTCTGAATGTTTTATAGAGAACCTCATTAAGATCATACCTAGAGATATTTGATTGCATTTATCAATTTTTCACCTCACATTTTACACTACATTTGACATTGTTATTTCCATAATCCAATGTATCCCTTTCCTGTCCTGGACCATTAAAACCTCCCCTGAGACAACTAATGAACCTTTTAATTCTAAAAGTCATACCCAAACAAAAGGATAAGCTCTGGAAGCCCCAATAATTGTCTCAAAAATCAATGTGCTCTTACAATGTTTGAAATTCAAACAAGAAAAGATAATAGAAATATTTTTCACTGGTTATTCAGGACCACTGATTTTATTGAAAAAAAAAACATGTGTGTGTGTGTGTGTTTGTGTGTGTGTGTGTGTGTGTGTGTGAGAGAGAGAGAGAGAGAGAGAGAATTATGCTTACTCAATGAGCTATTAATATAGAAAAGAAACTTTGTTTTCCATAAACAAAGTAGATTGGAGCCTGAGAGCTACAAATATATCTAGTTCAAATAATTCTGAGTTATTCAGAATGTTTCACCATGGAGGACTTGAGATGACCTTCACTGAAAGCTCCAGGCTGTGCTCTGAACACTGCTGTGCCAGAGGTGATCATGTGAGGTGACAGGACAAAGAAAACCAACCACATTGCACTGGTGGGGGAAAAAAAAAAAGAAAGAAAAGAAAAAAAAACACTAAGTAGTTTAAAGATGGAATAATTTGGATTTTTGTATTACAAATCCTTAAAGCAGAAAAATTCAGTGTTGATAAAGATTGAATAAAAAACTTTTGAAGAGTGTTTTAAGATTCAAGTGCTTTTCCAAACCAGCCAAATTCTTTGCTGAACTTTGTTTCATTGCCCTGAGTGAAACCCTAGGAGCTTATAGGTCACATCCTGAGATGAACACAGAAATGTTTGCTGTTCATTGTCAATTGACAAATAGTAAATTGGTGCTCAGATACTGGATCTTGAGATCTCCAACCTGTTTTTGTTTCTCTGTGCTTGGTTGATCGGGTTGATTTGTAACTCAAGAACAAGATTGGGTTGGCTTCTCATGGCATACTTGGTCTGGTTTCAAATCTTCTTTACTTCATCTTTATCTCATCTTTCCCAGTGAATCTTAAAACATTCTTTCTAAATAGGTGTTAATCTTTGCCTTTGACTAATGGACTTCTAATTACAGTCTTTAGATATTAGACTTAAAATTGAGAAGGGATCTAGATCATAAAGTATTGTGATGGGTCTTCCATTTGTTTTTATGGCAAGTAAGATTGTTTTCCTAGTAATTTAATATTTAAAATAAAAATAATTGAATGGAGATGGGTATAAAAAATGGTTATAACCTAATCTGAAAAGTAGAAATAAGCATAGACAGGAGATCTCTAAAGACAGTAAATCTAAGTACACAGACTGTTCTTAAGGTGCTGTGTGTATGTGCATGTGTTACTAATATGCACGAAATGAAATATTTAAATATTTGATCTCAGCGATCATAGCCTCATTGTCTACCAACCTATAAAAATGATCTTGATTGATCTTGTCTAATACAACAAAAGTTGCCAATGTACCTACTCACCAGCATTGACTTTTGTTTCTTTTTAAAATTAAGAGCAAAATTTTTCTGGTATTAAGTAAACCCAAAACTGTCCTGTGAGAGACATACTACATGTTAGCCACATCACATTTGAGGAGAAAGATGGTCAGAGATTGATCAATTTCCAAAGGTCAAAATAGCTAAAGGAATATTAGAATCAGGATTTAGCTTCTGTCTGTTATATCATGGTGAGCTTAAAGGCAAATATTCAGACAAGACAGAACTAAAAGTACAAAGAAAAGGGGGAAATAATAAATAGGAGGACAACAGTAACCCAAAGCATGGATGGTGATGGGGGAAGGGCATTCAGATAGAAACCAACATCCACTACAGGAACATGAAGAGTGATGGGTGTGGAGGGTGTTCAGATAGAAAGAACAATAGGGAAATTGTCATAAAGTCCCAATCAATTCTCATTTCTGACTTCTATAAACAAGGTAAAATAGTTTAAGTTTTCATTAAACTAACTTCATGTAGAAGATAAATTTTAATAGAAGAGTAAGAATTTTTTGTTGTTGTTGTTGCTTTCAAAAGAGTAGTCTGGAATCTGTCTTAACAGTTCAATTCTCTTTGCCAATATAGAAATAGTCTGTCTCTTGTCTGCTTTGGTTTGAACCATATACTTTTTTCTATAAATCACTTTTAACTCTAGCAAATTTCTATTGTTTTTATATCTTCAGAATGAACTGAACTTATTTCCACTCTTCTGCTTCTCTTCAAATGAGAGATGCACTCCCACAGTCTAAGATATGTGACCTGCATTTGTGGCCATCTGGAACACTGCACGCTAAACTTCAGTTTCAGCATTTCAAATCTTTCACAAGTTCTGGTGGTATTTCAGGGACTGTGTCACGACTCAGCTCCATTCACGGCAAGTACTCTGAGGGCAGTCCACAGGCCTTCATAAAGGCTATCATACTCATGCTATAAAACTCAAAACGTTAACCCTGAAAACAAATAAGACTTTCCTGGAGTCCTGAAAGTTTCCTTTCAGTTGATGCCAAGCCTTTACTTAAGACACGTCTAAAGCCCCGTGTTGAAAGGAGGAGGATGTCTCAGCACCCTCCTCCCTGGATTTGATCCTCCCAGATTTAAAATGTAAGGATTAGACGCTCAGCCCTCGAGCGTCTCCCTTCCTTTCTTGGCACCTTCATGACGATATATGGTGCAGTCTTTCACTTTGCTGTGATTACTGAGAAGACAGCACATAGGCAATGTGAGTTGCACTTAAGTGCAGCAATCCATTCTGAAGAGATGTACAAACATAAACTCCCAATCCTGGCAGGCTTCTATGAAGCCTGAGCATTATCTGTGAATTTCCTCTCTCTCTCCTTTTTAATCATTCTGTTCACTCACCTCTAGACCCCATTGGCCTAATTTACTAATTAATAACTATTATTACTTAGTGGAATTGAAAACTGAAATTACTGCCTGCCTTAAACATAATAAAAATTGGCAACGTGCTCAGAGTTGGGATTTTTTTCTAGGGGCTGCTTCATTTACTGAACAGTCCTGGCAGCTGGGTAGATGTCATTGTCTTGTTGCTATGTGGCCCTTGTTTCCAGATGGATGGAGGGGAGGTGGGTAGCATCTGCCTGACAAGTTTAGACTGGAAGAAATGAGACATAGTGCATTCTGTACCTGTGGGTTATTACCAGGCCTCCAGTTTATCAGTTTTTCTGCTCATAGCTATATCATTTATTTATTGCCTTCTTTTCATTTGTACTTGATCCCTCTTGCCAGTTTCATTC